TCCTTGATAGGGCCACTAGGTGCTACTGTAATGCACATAGTAAAACACCAGCCTTCTTGCCAACCTCAGCAGAGACCTGTTCCAGGCAGCGGCTCGGGCTAGCACTTGATGAGCCTGCTCCTCCGTCCCAAACAACGGCACCCACAGCCCCAAACCGACCAACATGGTCAGCTCTCACACAATGAGCCCAGCCAGCGCAGGGGAGGCATGTCAGACTGGCCACGCTCATGGGATCAGAGGTGAAATAAAGAGGAGCGAAGGATCAGGAAAATGCATGTGTGCTTTATTCATGTACATGTTTGAATACTGATGCTTATAGAAGTTTAGTTAAGTACAGAGTATATCCCCGGAGTATACGCTAACATCAGCCATTCGACCCCCTGCCCCCGCGAGTGCGCACACAGAGTCGCTTAGCATCACCTGCCATCACTTGTTTTATTGCAGAGATTATTCCTTCCCGCAGAAACGGCTTCCTCGCCAGTAGCGTTGTTGGTTTGGCGATTGAGTTACACCAGGTGTAAGGAATTCCCAAACCGCTCCGGCAATGGCCCATCAGAAAAAACAGCTCAGCGATGCCACAGAATTTTGCTTTATTAAAAAGTACGTAGCTTTGTGCTTATGAAAGTCTGTGGGGTACGGATTGGGCTGTCTCCGCCCCTTTCCAGTGCAAGCAGATACGCTAAGGGCCCCGGTTAGTGGAGCAGATTGAAAAATGTAATCGTTTTGATGTTTTACATTTTTGCCAACATTTTGGCCCATGGCAAAAAGGGAGCCCCCCCAAAACAAAAGTGATTATATTTTCTCATTGGGTATAAGAACTGATTAAAAAGGAAATTGCAAATGTTGAAATTTGTAATGAATTTTTTTATCGAGTTCAAATGCTGATGGGAAAAAAGGGATGAAATGTTCATATAAAAATTTCATTTTGTGGAGGGGGAGGGAAGAGATATGGAGGGGGTGTGAGAGAGAGAAAGTTGGCTTGAACTCTTGTGTTAACCCTTCCACACATATCTTCTCCACCTGGCCATTGCTTAGCATCCACAAACTTTGAATTTTTAAATTGAGTGGAAAACCCCCAGTCCTATAGGTGTAAGATACCTACTGGGCTCCCGGCCAGATCTCTGCTGACTCCGTCCAGCGTGGCCAACAAAATACATAACAGTTTGCTCATTTCATCCAGGCATCAAATGGCGTCCACGTCCATTGCAGTTCTGTGACCCCTTTCGTAGGCTAACCCCGCCCGTACTTGCCAATGTTTGGAATCCATAAACCACGGGGCTTTCACGCGGGGAAGAAAATTAGGGTGACACTTTTGCCGCCATTGAAATGTGTTGGCCTTGCCGCGCTTGCAAGGGTGGCGTGGGGGAAAACAATAACTACTTGGCGTACAAGAACTAGGGCCGGTTTGCCCGAAGACCAACCACCGTGTCTGAGGTGTGAAACGTAACAGCTTGCTTTTCAAGCCCTGGTTTTGAAGGAACAATTGAGCACAGGCTTCTGGAGGCTGAGAACGGGCGCTGTCTGGCCAGCCGACCCCTCTGCCGCTCAAAAAAGGGTGGCGTTAAGCAGGAGTACGCAAGACAGCCGATGCCAGTTCCTTCAGCCAATTTATACCAGCTGAGCTGCTCCCCCCTTAATTATAGCTAATTCTGCCCTGCCGAGCGTGTGATGACTAAAATTCTCCACACCGACGTTAGGGGAAGGCTGGAATGACTTTTCCTATTGCTGGCTGCAGGGGAAAAAAAAAAACCCAAAACCCTCATTCACTTAGAACACACGTAGCTCAGGAAATGGGAACCCGGCATTTCAAAAGCCCCAGGGACGTGAACTGGACAGTGGGGTACGTTCCCAGAAGGCGGCCATTTTAATGACCCTTCTAACCAGTAGCGGGGCGTGATTACGTGGCTCAGCACAAGAAGGTTGGCATGGCAGTTCAGGATACTGCGGCCAGAACGGCAGGAAATTTCCACAGCTATTTGAAGGTAAGGAGTGTAGCACATAAAGGACTCTTTATGAGGTAGCTTCCTGGTACACAGGTAAGCTCCTTGTCTAGCTGTCATTGGGTCAGCGTTCAAATCCTGCCTCTGCTGTGCCAGCTGTGGTCATGATTTGCATAGCACAGCTGTTAGTCGTGTCATTTAACGCATTATTAGAAGACTCGCCCATGCGTAGTGTGCTACCAGGATCTATATAGACTAGGCTAGTGCATGCTAACCCCATCCCACTAAAAACACAACTGAAAAATGTACCATGAGCTGTGGCCATTGTCTGCTGTTCTCCGTAGCTCTCATCGTCCCAGCTGGCTGTATGACACCAAGCTGAGGATAGGTCTGTGTCCAGCTTCGTTGTTTCACATTTAAACCTTTTCACATTTGCAAATTTGACACCATCAGATCAGGATTAAACAAAGACTGTGAATGGCTATCCAACTACAGAAGCAGTTTCTCCTCCCTTGGTGTTCACACCTCAACTGCTAGCAGAGCACCTCACCCTCCCTGATTGAACTAACCTCGTTATCTCCAGACTGATTTATACCTGCCTCTGGAGATTTCCATTACTTGCATCTGAAGAAGTGAGGTTCTTACCCACGAAAGCTTATGCTCTCAATACTTCTGTTAGTCTTAAAGGTGCCACAGGACCCTCTGTTGCATTTAAACCTGGTGTCCCTGCCCATAAGCCCTGATTTTATGAAGATCTCTGGGACAGCTGAGACCTCTGTAAAACCAGGCCAGTGAGATGTTAGTGTGCTAAGGTGCACCATTGGAGCCCGGCTTTGGTCACTGCAACCCGGGTGGGGGGAACATAACAAGGCTTTGGTTAAACTAGGCCCAGAACTCCAGAGTAAGTATTAACTGGTCATATTTCACGCTGGACTAAGAGCCTGCGAATGTTTCTCTTCCGTTGCAATTTTCCTTTAAAATGTAAGCAATCGAGCTAAGAAATCAACTTCTGAGGGGACTGGGAGAGGAGGGCAACGGACTGCAGCCAACTCCCTGTCCTGGGCCTTGTGCTTGCAGCGCTCCATTGGGTGGTGCTCGTGCTCCCTACCTGTCACTGCTGGGCCCTGTCAAAATCCTTCCAACAAATCCACGTGGCAGGAGACGGCTGCTGGTGGCACTGGAGACGTGTGACCCAGGGAATGTGCTTCTGGAACCCAGCGGCCCAAAGTGCGGGAGGCCCTCAAGAAAGGCTCCTCCGTGGGGCAGCCAGGCTGAGTATTTAATGAGAGGGCAATTCACCAGCCTCTCTCTGGGCCTGATCCAGCACAGAGACCCCTCAGCTCGGCCACTGATATCAACAGGAGTTAGGGGCTCACTCCCCACCCTCAGGATCATACGCTCTAGCTCCACAGAAAGGTAGGGGTGGCCATGCGGGCTCAGACCCATGGGCCATCTAGCCCAGCAGCCCAACCCCCGATGCACCGACAGAAGATCCCATTATTTAGAGGTTGACTTAGCATCTGAAGCATGAGGGCATGAGCCAACCTAACGAGAGCAACTCTTGTTAACTATTTATCCATGTGAAGCAGAGCAAGCCATGCCCTGCTACATTTAGTGCTTGGATCGTTTCATATGGCGGCTGGGTTTTTGAGTATCTCCCAGTGGTCATTCGTGTGGGTGAGTTGGTTGGTTGCTAGGTCTCCGCTGAACCCTTTCCAGCCCATCTTTCATTTCTGTGACTAGAGCGATACCAAGTAAACCACTGAACATCATGTGTGTCACTAAGGGTGTCTACACTGCAGTAAAACACTCACACCTGGCCCGTATTAGCTGACTCGGGCTCAGGCTGCAGGGCTATAAAACTGTAGTGTAGCCATCAGGGCTCATGGGGTCCCAGAGCCCAGACATCTACACAGCAATTGTATAACCCGAATGGCCTAATCCCGCTGACTAGGGGGGAGGAATAGCTCAGTGGTTTGAGCATTGGCCTGCTAAACCCAGGGTTGTGAGTTCAATCCTTGAGGGGGCCATTTAGGGAACTGGGATAAAAATCTGTCTGGGGATTGGTCCTGCTTTGAGCAGGGGGTTGGACTAGATGACCTCCTGAGGTCCCTTCCAACCCTGATATTCTATGATTCCTACCTGGGCCAGCTGCAGGTGTTCTGATGCAGTGTAGACACAACCTTTAAGACCAAACAACTCGCCTGTCACATGTGAACATGAGTCAAGTGACACGAACATCAATTCTTGCCTGGAGGCTTACACATACCAAGCGATTATAAAAAGACTAGCGTTGCATGAGACAATATATCCTACTCTCACCTCACACTTGGATGTGACAAAAACTACCCCAAAGACTGAACAGGGCCAGTTTAGAATGTTCCGGGCTCAGAAGGGGATGCCACCATGAATTGCCAAAGCCGGCAAAAAAAAAATGGAAAGTGACACACGTGTTTCTTCCTGAAGACCAGTAACGCATGAACACGGTTTTCTACAGGAGAGGGGGAAAAGGGTCAGGGTTCGGCTGGGAGTTACACGCCAGTTACACAGGATGCTGTCGGACATGTCGAAAAACCAGCTAGGTCAGTGATGGCAACGGCCCTGGCTCTGCTCTACCCCGCAGAGATGCCTAGTGTCTTCCTTGGTGGGCAAAGGCCACACCTTGCTGACAAAGTGGATGATGGCTTTAGTCTGAGCCAGGGATGGGGTTCTGTTGGTCCTGCCGCAGCTCGGGTCACTGTGTAGAAAGTTGCATGGCCTATCGTGAGACCCACCACGTCCCCATAGGCCAGCGTTTCACGAAACCCTCCCGACAGCTCATCCGTCAGGAGTCTTTCCTCGCTCGGCTGTCTCAGGAGGGCTCAGGGCCTCTGACTCTCTGGTTTCTTGTGCTGGGCTCTATGAAGGGACCCGTCTGTGGCTCTGCAACGCCATGGACACGCTACAGGGCGCTGGAGACAAGAAGCGAGCCAGGAGCGGGAAGGGTGACCAGGAGCAAGCTGGTGAGACACCTTCGATTTTACAAAATAAAATATGTTGGCTGGGGGGGGGGGGGCAGGGCAATTTCCACATACAGCCCCGCCCGCCCCCAACGAGTGCTTTTTTTTAAAAAAAGAAAGAGACGCATAGAGTCAGCGCCTGCTGCGTGCTCGCTCCGTTTCACATCGCAAGCAGGAGTGGCGCAGCGAGAGCCATGGAAACCCACATCAGCAGCCACCCCGCAGCACGGGAGGCGGACGCCAAGCCAGAGGTTTCGGAGGCCAGTTGGGTGGAGCCCCTTAGGAGCGGCTCCTCTCCAGATCCCTGCAAAGAGAACAGAGACAATGCTGAGGGTCAACCCCATGTTCATCCTCCCACGCCTGTAAAAGACAGGAGCCGAGGGCATCGCATGACATTTAACTGTGTTGCGGGCGAAATTGTGTGTGGTGGGGATGGGTGTGAGGGCCAGGCGGATGGAGGCCTGTTATGAAGCATTGGCCTGACTTCTGGTCTCAAAGCAGCACTGCTGAAGTCGATAGTTACACTGTGGTGAGGGTGGAAGTGGCTCTCATCAGCTTTTAATGGAGGCCTTTCAGAATCGGGGCTCAGGACTACCACTAACAGGGCAAGCAGTGGAGCAGAATGGCCTGACCGTGACTTCACTTTGGGCTGAGGCCAGATAACATAGGACCAAAGGACTGGAGGCTCCTGGGTCATCAAGTCCAGTCTCCTGCTCTCAGAGGCAACCCTCTCACGCCATCCCATTCCTAAACTTACCATGCCCCAGCTTCAAAGTAGATGGGTTGTTTGCTCCCTTCCCCCCATGCCCGCTCCTGCTGGAGGCTGTTCCAGAGCCTCACTCAGCCGATGGTTAGAAACTGGCACGTTTTCAAACCTCCCAGAAGATTGTGGTTGCAGCTGGGCTTGAGCCGTGGGTGAAGGTTTGAGGCTGTACTTATTCCATTCACCCTGTTGTGTATGTCCCCAGTGATCCCGTGCAATGTAAGGGCAACATGTGTAATCCCATGCAGGCGGGAGCTTGCTCCTCCACGGGAACGCGAGCCAGGGCCGCCGAGCTTGCTTCTTGCACATCGAGTTGAGGCTGTAATCTTGGGCGATTATGTCTTCGCTGCAGAGTTAATAACCCATAGGGTCGGGTGCCGGGTCTGAGCACCCAGGTTAGCCTCACCCGGGGAGGAGCAGCCACACTCGGGTTACTGTGCCCTCACTGGTGCTGCCCGCCCATCGGTGTCTGGGGACATGTCCCATGGCTCTGTGTGCTGAGACACTCTAGGATTGCTTCCGCGTCAATGGCAGGAGAACTTGTCTGTCCTACGGGGGGATTTGTGGGACGGCGCTGGAGGACTATCAGCAGGGGAGTGATTTTGCCCACATCCTCACTGCAGAGTGGGTGGGGTCTAGCCTGCGTTAAAGTGGAGCCCAGGCTGTAACCTGCACCCCCAGCCATGTAAACTATTCTAGGCTTCAGGCACCTTCAAACCCAGGTAAAAGGGTGCAGGTAGAGGGCTGGAGTCCATGGAGCCCAAGCAGGGACCCGAGGGAGGTGCAGGACGACCCCTTTACCACATGACCTACCGCACCTGCTGAATTTCTAAAGCTGCACAATGTTTAGCAATGAATGTAGAGGCGTCCCTCCCAGAATGGCAAACCCCTTCCCATGCTAACCGGTTAACAATTAACTCACCTCTGACACGTCCCAAAGGCTAAGCTGGCTCCGTCCCTAATAGAGGGGACGTACATCCAGAGTTAACCTGTAGAGGGTTAGGGGCCATTTCCCTCTCTTCCCTGGTTGGCTAGCTTGCTCTGGGGGCTCAAGGGGTATTTACCCTGTCAGGACCCACTGCGCACCATGACAGCGAGGGGCAAGCTGGCATGATCTCTCTGCGATAGATGGCTCAGGGTTGCTTTTACTACGCTCGGCCTCTACTCACATGTCTGGACAGGTGCCAACCTATTGGCGGCTAAAATAAAACCGGCTCCCCTGCCATCTCAGAGTGTGGGTCACCGGGCCCCAGCGCTACGGCTTCTTCCGCTTTAGGTGTCTTCCCTTAATTTCCCACCACAATCCAATTTACAAAGCCCCCGAGGGTGACCAGAGAGCAAGTGTGAAAAATGGGACAGGGGGTGGGGGGTAATAGGAGACTATATAAGAAAAAGACCCAAAAATAGGGACTGTCCCTATAAAATCGGGACATCTGGTCACCCTAAAGCCCGCCCATAACTCGGGTATAAACTTCAAACGGCACAAACTCCCCCTCACCACCACCTTCTTGCAAGATTCACAACGACAGGGTAGAGGGGTTTGGGCTAAAACCCAGAAAAGAGCCTGGGTTAACTCTGCAGGGAAGAGACACTCCCCAAGAGGAGAACAGTATCTCTCTGGAAAGCGGGGAGAGGCCCCACCTGCAACTCAAAGGCCAAATGCAAAGGGAGCTGCGGGTAACAAGCTAAGCCAGTTCTGTGCGTCTCTGCAGGAGGATGCAAGTAGAAGCCAAAATCGTGGCCATTTATCTGTGGTGCAGACAAAGGTATCTACATGTCAGGGGCAAACTGCAAGGTCCTGACAAGCCATCAGTGCTGCTGCAGCTGCATTTCAATCGTCTCCACCTCGGCCACTGGCAGGAAGTGGCAGGTGGTTGCTGAGCGACAGAGGCGTTTGGAGGCAGATTGTGACGTGCTGCCTTATTCCATGGCAGGGGAAGTGTAAGTGGGAAACGGCTTCCCCAACTCGGCATTGTGGTTCCACCAAGCCTGAAAGACAGCGACGGCAGCTGGTCCAGTACTCGTCACTGGAGCCCAGGGACTGGGGCGCTTCGGCGATCTGGCATGCAGTGAATCGGGGGCACTGTTATTATGGAATGATGAACTAACTTAATAGTTCTATGACTGTAGTACACCGTAAACCAGGGGTATCGTTTATTTAACTAATAATCATTGACGATGACTGTCGGATAGAGAGGCTCCACTCAGCATAATAATAAAATACAACTAATAATGTAACAGTATTTTTCTTGTGTCTCGAACCTTTCAATGGAGGATCTCAAAGTGCTTAATGAACATTGATTAATTGTCGACCTCCCTGGGATAGAGGAATGTTATTCCCATTTTACAAGTGGGGAAACTGAGGTACTGGGTGGTTCAGTGACTTGCCTGAGGTCACACAGCAAGCCACAGCCGGGCCAGGAGTCCTGACTCCCAAGCCTCTGCTGCTGGCAATACTATTAACATCACTTATTCCTATCACAACATAGACGCACCGGGCACTTAGCAGGTGACAAGCTCACCAGAGGCGGAGAAGAGTGAGGACAGCGTGGCCCGATGGTTAGAACTGGGTTTATTAAAAGAGCTTATGAAGGAGTGGGGTTGGGAAGGGCCTGAAGGAGAAGGGTGCGGTGTGGCAGGGGGGTCTGGGAGTCTCAGGTGATGGAGGCACCGGACAAGTGGCAGGGGCTGAGCATAGAGGGTGCAGAGGGCAGCTGAAGGAGGGAGCTGAGGTCCAGGAAGCCGAGGAGGAGGGTGAATTTTCTGCGAGCACTAGTGCAAAGGCTCCGTGAGCTTCTCGGTCTCCCCCTACCTTGGTGGGCTGGAGCTGCTCAAAGATGTTCCCTCTGAGGGTGGCGGCGGCTCTGTTGGCGTTTCGCTCCTGCTTGTACATCTGCGTCGTCGGGGGCACGGACGGGGCCAGTGCCGCGTTCAGGTACGTCCCGTTGCCGAAGGCCAGGATGGCATTTTCTTGCCGAGAGGGGGAAGAGCGATCAGAGCAAAGCTCTGGAGGAAAGTGTTAACGTTCCCTCCCGACCTCTCCCGCGACCCCCAAACCAGCGCCTCCCTCCCCAGGCCAGGCTGGGCATGGACCAGCCGTCGCCTCCCACTGCCTCTCCTGCCTGAGCCCTAGCTTCCTGCCCGGTAAAAACGGGGAGGGCTGTCCTGGGGGGTGGCAAGAGGCGGAATTCAGTCAGGTTTGTAAAGCCCGTTAGAAAGGCTCGGCATCGTCTCCCTGATTCCGCGGGAGTGAGTAAGTTTGGCAGCCGTTTCCACTGCCCCGCACAGCCACGTCCCGTGGGCAGTCCGACCATCGGAGCCAGCTGTGGATGGGGAGCACCCAGCAGGCGGGGTTCCCCTTGGCTTTTCCCCGGGTGGAGTCGCCTACAGAAGTGAGCAACATGCCGGAATTCCCCACCCGCTGACCCATCGATTTAAGCCAGGAATTAGGCTCCTAAACGCCTTTGAGGATGTGGGCCTAAGTGACTCCACAAGGGGCTGAGCGGAGGGAATCGGGCCCTGGGTGCTCACCCAAGAGCGATACCGGATGGGGCATAAAATCAACATGGAACCTTCCCTCTTGCCCGGGCAGAGCGATGGAGGCCGAGCAGCAAGGCAATCGCTCACAGCATTAGATATGCAGTGACATCAGGGCATAATGCGTTTACAGCAGCGGTTATCCCAGGGGATAATGGGAGCTGCTGGCCCTCACGGAGTCTTGAAGCCTCAGGCTTTGTATGGGAGCAGCTCCCGTGGGCCGCTCAGCCTGGCAGCCAGCTGCAAACTGTCTCCTGCGAGACAAGGCCCAGGATTCCCTCTTAAACATGCAGCACGCCACGCCGGCCGTCAGCCCTCTGCACACTGCCCGATGGCGCTCTGTGGCTTCGCAGCCCAGCGGCCGCCTCCTCGCGGGACCTGAAGAGAAGCCATCACGCAGGTGATGCGTTCATTATCTGAGCGCAGGACGGCTGTGGTTTCACTGCAGGGTCAGGCCAATGGGAAAGCCCGGCTGAGAGAGGAGAAACACGCAGCCCTCTCCGGCCAGAGTAACGTCAGCGCAGGACAATGCTGGCGAAGTTAGTTTCTCTTGGCACAAGTGTTCCCCCTTGTCGGGTTTTCTCAAGCGTGACGGCCCCAGGGCCTCGCCGGCAGCTGCTGGACCGAGCACGTGTCGTCTCGGGACACTGATGGATTCTGACATCCTCAGCACTTGTCATCTTTTCCAGGGGTATAAAGATGTTTCTAGCCAGTCTACATAACTCAGACTGCCTCGTCTCAGCCTTCACCGTCTCCTAGCTCTTTCAAGGGCTAGGACATCCATTTTACACAGCAGTCCAGCCCTCTGAGTTCTCCTGGGGGTCTGCTGGGCTACATTTTAAATGTCCTTGTAACTAATACGGGCCAGTGGCTAGGACGCCAGACTGGGTGTCCGGAGAGCTGGGATCCATGCCCAGTGCTGACACTGCCCCGCTCGGGGAGCTGGGGGAGTCACTTCACCTCTCAGTGCCTGGTTCCCCTCCCGCCCTTTGATGGCTTTGGCTGTTTAGGGCAATGGCTGTCTCTCACTAGCACAGGCGGGGCCCTGATCTCAGCTGGGACCTCTCGGTGCTCCTGGAACACTCATGAGGGCTCAATTCTGCCTTGTGTAGCGTGGACGTGCCGGGGGTGAGAGGGCACTGGGACCCCCTCCGACCCACGGGGCAGCTGTAATTAGTCTGGGCGGCACAAGGGCGAAGGCTAGCTGTGTCATGTGCAGCATTGCTAGCCTGTAGGGGACATGTCTGGGCGAGGGCAGGCACAGGCAACGCTCTGACCACTTCACCTACCACCCGGCAGGTGCAGCGCTGGTGGCAGGACCTCCTTTCACATGGCCTTTCCGTCCCCCTTGCGAGAGGCACCCAGGAGCCCCCCCAGCCCTGCAGTGGACATGCCCCGTCTGCTACTTACGGAGACAGAGGTTGTCGGTGAAGAGGTGCAGAAAGCTCTCGCACTCCTCCTGGCGGTTGCCGCTGGCGTTGCAGGTGCACCAAGGCGCGATGCTGGCGGTCGAGTTGTCGACGTAGTTAGGTGTGATGGGACTACCTGCCAAGAAGGACGGAGCAGGGTCGCTGTTACTGGAGGAACCGGCTGAGAACCAAAACCACATGGGCTCCCCAGAGCAAACCTTCCCCCAGCTCAGCCACGTTCCTGTGGGTTCCACGCTGCTGCCCTTAGATCTGTCAGGACCTCTTTCCCTTTGCGGTTGACCTGCTAAGAAGTGACGCTGTGGGGAACCCTGCTTCTTTCCTGGCGATTTTTCCGGGTCAATTCTACTTCGTTCACATACCCAGCACACCCCACAGTTAGAGAGGCCAGGGTGATTCACTCAGCTCGTGACATTACACCCCCACTTCACTGCCTTTGCTACAACGCTGTACGTCTTCCTGGAGTCCTTAGTCTGCTTGTTGTGTAGCCCGGGGGTATGCAGCAACCGAGAGATCCACACAGAGACACTTTGCCCATTGCCATGGACAGGTCATGGCTCCAGTAAGGGAGGATTAAGACTGAATGGCTCCATAGGCTCTAAAAGTTCAGGATATGCCCAAACCAGCCTCTCCTTCCCATCTGCCTAGCCCACTTCCCCGGCTCCAGCAGCAGTCAGCTGGCTTCTCCAGACCGACCCATGCTATGCTCAGAGCTCCTGTCTGAGGCCTGAGCCAAAGCCCTCTGAAGCCAATGAAGTGTGGAGGAAGGTGGTTTACACCTGGCTCCACCAGCGGTGGCTGAGACGTGATTCTGCCTGGTGAGCTGGGACTGCCAATCCATGGACGCTCAGGATCTGGAAACATGGAGGAGTGGGGACTGCTCTTCCAAAAATATGCTGTAAATGCCACGCTTGCCCTTATTCTTTGGGAAGCATTCAACACTAAATCTTCCAACACCTTGATATCACGTACTGTACACTATATGGAGCATGGGCAGGTACCTCTCCGGTGGCGAGGAATAAGGAGTGACACCTTTTCGCCCATTGGGACCAAACCTGCAATCTGCTTCCTGGGTCCCTTTGGATCGTATTTGCTTTTTCTGCTGACCCACCCAAGTGACTTGTTACCCGTTAGCCTTGCAGAGCCAGCACCGTGATGGGGGAGCGAGCTGGATTCTCATCCGGCTCGTGGCTCATCGTCATCCCCACCAGGATAGTCGGAGGAGCTCTGATTGAAGCATCTCTGTTGTCCGTGAGGATGCAAGAGGCGGAAGGGACATGAAGCGTGCTCGTTGGATCTGAGGGGCTAGCAATGGTCCAGAACAGGAGGTGAGAGAGAAGAGGAGAGTCAGCAACTGACGGGCACAGCCTCATACCTATGATTCCGGTGTACGCCAGCAGACAGGCAGCGTAGTTCTCCCTCCTGCAGCCAGTCGCAGACTGCGGGGACGGCTGGCAGTTAAACTGAAACTCCGCATATCGGGACCTGCATGGGACAGAGAGCGCAAAGGGAGATGTCAACACTACTTAACTTGCTGCATTTACTGCACTTGCATATAACTAGGCCCACTGATATGTTCGCTGACTGATGTCCTAAACTACCTACAATGAATAGCTAAGAACATTAGAACGGCCATACTGGTCAGGAATGGTCCATCTAGCCCAGTGTTCTGTCTTCTGACAGTGGCCAATGCCAAGTGCTTCAGAGGCAATGAACAGAAGAAGGCAATTATCGAGTGATCCAGCCCCGGTCACCGAGTCCCAGCTTCTGGCAGTCAGAGGCTTAGGGATACCCAGAGCATGGGGTTGCATCCCTGACCATCTGGGCTAATAGCCATCGATGGACCTAACCTCCAGGAACTTTTCTAATTCTTTTTTGAACCCAGTTATAGTTTTGGCCTTCACAACATCCCCTGGCAACAAGTTCCACAGATGGACTGTACATTGTGTGAAGAAGTACTTCCTTTTGTTTGTTTTAAACGTACTGCCTATTAATTTCATTGGGTGACCCAAGGTTCTTGTGTTATGTGAAGGGGTAAATAAGACTTTCTTATTAACTTTCTCTACACCATTCATGATTGCATTGACCTCTAACATATCCCCCTGAATCATCTCTTTTCTAAGACGAACAGTCCCAATTTTTTAAATCTCTCCTCATATGGCAGCTGTTCCGTGCCCCTAATCATTTGTGTTGTCTTTCTCTATTCTTCTTCCAATTCTAATATATCTTCTTCTATCATCTGCAAACTTTCCTATCTCACTGTTTATCCCTTTTTCCAGATCATTTATTAATATATTGAACAGCACTAGTCCCAGGACAGATACTTACCCCCCTCCCACAGCTGTTTACATTTCTCCACTTTGAAAACTGACCATTTATTCCTACCCTTTGTTTACTATCTTTTAATAAGTTCCTGATGCATGAAAGGACCTTCCCTCTTATCCCTCTTAATTTGCGTAAGAGCCTTTGGTGAGGAACTTTGTCAAAGGCTTTCTGAAGGCCCAAGTACAGTATATCAACTGGATCACCCCGGTCCACATGACTGTTGACCTCCTAAAAGAATTCTAATAGATTGGTGAGGCATGATTTCCCTTTACAAGAGCCATGTTGACTCTTCCCCCAACATATTGTGTTCATCTACGTATGTCATAATTCTGTACTTTACTATCATGTCAACCATTTTTCCAGGTACTGAAGTTAGACTTACTGGCCTGTAATTGCCAGGATCACCTCTGGAGCCTTTTAAAAAAAATCGGCGGTACATTAGCTATCCTCCAGTCATCTGGTACAGAGGCTGATTTAAGCGATAGATTACATACCACAGCTAGTAGTTCTGCAATTTCATATCTGAGTTCCTTCAGAACTCTTGGGTGAATAGCTTCTGGTCCTGATTGTTGGGGGCGAAGGCATATTTAGGCCTGACAGAAGCCTGCTGTGGATTTTAAGAGTCTGTTCCGATAATGTTTAACAGCATAAGCATAACTGCCTATGTGTAAGAAATTGCAGAATAATCATGTTTGTGAGAACAAGAGAAGATAAAGTAACTAAAAAGCTAGATGGATGGGATGGAATTGAAGGAAATTTGGTGGCCTGAGAAGGGACAGAGTCAGGGAAAGGGAGATAAAAGAGATATAGGAACAGTATAAGGAGTTGGAGCTTTGGGAACTTCAGCATTTGTTCATATGGATATCACAGTATTGTGGGAGGAAAATCAGAAAATGAGATTTCGGCTACAGAATCTGTTAAACTTAAATAAACAACAGAATGAGGCTATAGGGGAGGATTTAAAAGATATTCAGGACGCTAGGATAACAGGACAGGTGTTTAGGGAAGTGGAAGCAGCAATCAATGAAATGGGAAAAATCCTGAACCAGCCTCACGTATCAAAGGTGATTTACCTGCCCATGGGATGGCAGCTTCCTAATACAGGAGCTACACCGGTTGGACCAAAGGAAATTCAAGGTGGGGAAGTGCCTAGGTTCATAACAGAGAAGATGCTAGAACAATGGACAAAACCAGAAGGAGTAGCTTGATGCGGGGTTAGGTGCTGCTCAATGGTCTCTTATGCTGAGAAAAGATGCAAGCTTGATGAAACATGGATCCTTCCTATGGTGCTAGCAGTACCAGTGGCCACAGGACTAAGTGAGGCATTAAGAGTGAATAGTGCCCAGTCCATAGTTCATTGGAACCTACCATGGCAGGTTACATCTTAAAAGAACATGTCGCTCATCCTCAGATAGTGGTAAGGATTGGGAGGTGGTCTGGAAAGCCCCAGATACTTCATGTTGTTCCAAGAGACGTGGTACCTGGTTATGTCATTGTGATGTATTGCAGAGTACGTTGCTGACATGTGGGTCCACATGCTGGCAACAAAACCAAAATTGCACAGTTGGGATGAGGCAATGGGGACAAGGTCAAGCCAAGGTGGCAAAAGCTGGAGAAGGCAAATATTGTGTACCCTGGTGGGTCGGGCACTTCCAATATGGGAGACAGACATATGATTGGGACTGGCCAATGTTCTGCTTAGATCCAAGAAACTTACCCGAACAGAGGACAAGGCAATTATTCCAGTTCCCCAGCATAAGATCCACAATGTATCAGCCGGTGCCCCTCTGACTGGTACTGCGCTAAACAGCTAAGCAATGTCATACCACAATTGCATTAAATGTGCAGGCCTTAATGGAAAGACATCCAGAATGTCTGTTGACCTTAAGACAGGAAAGTCGAAATATTCAAAGTGACCTAGGATCTGGTGGGAAATGGGCCAGGGTCAGAGTTAGTAGACGATATTGGGGAAAATCCATGGGTACGCATGATACCAATGGGCTTTGTGTAAGTCAAACTAGTAGTGGTGTTAATCGCATCCATTTAGAAGGATAGGAGCTTGGTTAGGCAGCTGGGAAGGAGAAAAGATGTATACGAAATGCAGGCTTTGATGAAACCTTAGAATGGATTCTATGGCTTCCTAGTGGGAAGTATTGGGAGCGAAGGCATATTTAGGCCTGCTGTGGATTTTAAGAGTCTGTGCTGATAATGTTTAATGGCATACGCATAAGCAGAACTGCCTATGTGTAAGAAATTGCAGCATAATCATGTTTGTGAGAACAAGAAAAGAGAAAGTAACTAAAAAGCTAGAAATGACCGGTTTGAACTAACACTAAACCTGTACTGGTGGGGGAGGAGAGTTAACATGGAAATGAGAGACTAATACATAACAAAAGATAACCGAAAGTTATAAATACGTCTGTATACGTTTGTAACAAAGGGAAATTGAAACTAAATTATCCAGTGCTGGAGGCAACTGGGATGAGATCGTTCCAGTGAGTTTCCCATTGGTGAGAAATTGATCACTACTTGCTGAGTGTTTTGCCTTAATAAAGATTTGTTAGACCCTTCTGCTGAGTAACTGAATCTCAGTCCAACACTGGTGGCTTATTACTGTTTAATTTTCCAATTTGTTCCAAAATCGCTTCTATTGACACCTCAACCTGGGACAGTTCCTCAGATTTGTTACCTAAAAAGAATGGTTCTGGTGTGGGAATCTCCCTCACATCCTCTACAGTGAAGACTGATTAAAAGAATTCATTTAGCTTCTCCACAACAGCTTTCTCTTCCTTGAGTGCTCCTTTAGCACCTCAATTGTCCAGTGGCCCCCACTGTTTGGCAGGCTTCCTGCTTCAGATATACTTCATTTTTATTTTTATTTTTTCTGTTGGTTTTTGTGTCTTTTTCTAGCTGCTCTTCACATTCTTTTTTGGCCTGCCTAATTATACGTTTACGCTTGACTTGCCAGAGTTTATGGTCCTTTCTATTTATCTCAGTAGGATTTCACTTCCAATTCGTAAAGGATGTCTTTTTGTATCTAACTGGGTTTTTTTGGGGGGGGGCCCTTTGACTGTTTTGTTTGATTTGGGCTTTGCATTTAGATTGAGCCTCTATTATGATGCTTTTAAAAAGTTTCCAAACAGCTTGCAGGCATTTTACTCATAGGACTGTTCTTTATAATTTCCATTTAATTAGCTTCCTCATTTTTATTTACTTCCCCCTTTTGAGGTTAAATGCTACTGTGGTGGGTTTCTTTGGCATTTTCCTCCATACAAGGATGTTACATTTAACTACATGATGGTTGCTATTACCGAGCGGTTCAGCTTCTTGGACCAGATCCTGTGCGCCACCTAGGACTAAATCAAGAATTGCCTCTCTCCTTCTGGGTTCCAAGACTAGTTGCTCCAAGACACAGTCATCAGGGGGCTGGGATAGCTCAGTGGTTTGAGCTTTGGCCTGCTAAACCCAGGGTTGTGAGTTTAATCCTTGAGGGGGTCATTTAGGGATCTGGGGCAAAAATCTGTCTGGGGATGGGTCCTGTTTTGAGCAAGGGGTTGGACTAGATGACCTCCTGAGGTTCCTTCCAACCCAAATATTCTAATGGTGTCTAGACATTTTCTCTCTCCATCCTGTCCTGAGGTGACATGTTCCCAGTCCATATGCGGATAGTTGAAATCCCCCATTATTATTGGGTTTTCTGTTTTTGTAGCATCTCTAATCACCCTGAGCATTTCGTAATCACCATCAGCATGCTGGTCAGGTGGTCAGAAGTTTATTCCTACTGCTATACTCCTATTATTCAAGCATGGAATTTCTATCCACAGAGATTCTATGGCACTCTTGGAGTCATTTAAGACTTTTACTATATTTGACTCTACGCTTCCTTTCACATATAGTTGCTGCTCCCCCGCCAGGCTCAAGAAGGCAGGCTGGCAGGCAGGTTTCACCTGCCTCATAAGGCTACCTCAGCTCCCATCAGCTTGAGCTGCTGAAAATGGCCAAATAGACCCATTTTTATGACAATCCAGACTCTTGTGTGAGGTGACTCTCCCCTTGCCAGCTTCCCCAGGTGAGCCGAGACCTTTGCCAGGTGACTTTACTGCCAAGGTGACCTCTCCCCTCACAAACAAGCTCTCCTGGATAGGAGCGCTCTTATTTTC